CTGAGAATATGATGATGATTTACTGAATCTCTAATCCTATTGTTGTTATCTTAAGAGATTCATTTAAACCTATTTAATCTTCATATCTAATCATGCATTATTCATATGAATAGATATTGTTAATTTTCATTTGGGAACCTTCTTGTAGACCATCTCAGATATCATACAGGCCTAAGAGGTTTGAGAAATTGGTTGACCTCGTTTTCGCAACTTGGTCGTGTTGTCAGGGCGACTTAGTTGGATGAGCCTTGTCCGAAGTTCAACTAAGCCTCACTGACAACACAACCAAGTTTCAAAAGTTAGGTCAATCAACTCATATACATTAAAAGGTTTTAATCCAATGTATATTTCTTATCCTTCCTTTTTGGTAATAATTTGATTAGTAAATGTTTTATTCTAGGGCTATTTTGTGTAGATCTTACAATTCATGAGCATACATCAGCTTATATATATATATATATATATAATTGTATTACTTGGTATACAATTATTAATATCATATTGTGGATATTAAAGACAAGATGGTATAGTTTTAGGCTTGATCGTGGTCTCCTTTAGTGTTAGTTTTATTTCGTTTTCAAAATTTGCTCGGTGTGAAATTGTGACCTTATCAAACACACCCAGTCTTACCTCCTCTGTTATAGTAATAATGCTGACTTCTAGTATCGGACCGTTGGCACTTGCTATCTTTCCTATTTAATATTACCGGACAAAAAGATTGTATAAGAAATCCATCAGAATCCTTTTTTCATGTTAGTCTTTCCTTGTCTTTTTTGAAGAGTTAGGCTTTGGGTGACAAATACAAATCGTAATTTACAAGTTAATTTCCTAGCTGGTCTGCTACAGGAATAGGAATTGTGAGTATTAAAACGGATTCATTAACAACCCTTTGAAAGTATTTACAGTTATTATTTCATCAACATACCAAGATTTCATCTGTGATCACTGTGCTTTGATTTAGAGCTGGACTGATTCAAAGACATGATTAATACGTCCTCTCCTAGCCTCCTTAAGCTACTAGTTCATTACAAGCTGATTAGAGGCAGGTATAAAATGCACTTTCTCTGGAAATTATTTTTAAACTTAATACATTAGGGCTATAACATGGCTGGCTTGGGGAACAAGACAAATAAATATATGAAGACCAAGATATTGCTGCCTCTGGTGTGGTCGCAGAATGTATCAAGTCCACTGTCAGATGCTGGGAATTATGACAACTACTATTAGACTAGGTGCGTTCTACATAGTCTCCCTGAAAACAAGACCAAGTTGCGACAACGAGGTCAACCCACTTCTATCAAGACAAATAAAGTCTGTAATTTATTTTACTGCAGACTTGGGAGATTAATCAATGAAATATTTTAGCTATCCCATACCATGTATCTTTTCAAGAAGCCCTCTCCTATACTAAAATAAAATATTTCTGCTTTCTAAGGTTCATGTATACTTTTGATATTTCTGTCAAACTGTTGATGCATAGATGGTTATTGTGATAGATATTCAATATTTTCTAAGTTTTTCATAAGCAAATTTCTCATCACAGCAGACTGGAAATTGTTCCCGCCTTGAGTGCAAAACCTTTCGTTGCGCAAGATGCAGGACCATGCAAAAAATATGATAGGATTTCAATTAAGCTAGTCAGGTTTAGTGTAAAAATAAAAAAAATCGAATAAATATTTACACACATGCAGCATTACTATTTTATACAAGAGCGACATTTTAATTTTGACCATTTGCAAAGCCATAATTTAGTCACACTTTATCTTTCCTATTTCTGCAAAACTTTAGTCTCTTCACACTCTATCTTGAGAGTTTCCCAGTTTGACCAACCGGCCTCTACTTCGCGCTGCTCTAGTGATCTGCGCTTTCGATCGAATGTACATAGGCCCGAAGAAGTGCCGAATAGTGAGGTCATGCTTTCACAGTTTGCATTGCCCAATCCAACATCATTGTCATCTCCCCTAGGTCTTTCTCCAGCTTGTCATGAGGAAAAACTCATCTCTAATAGACTTTCTGAGGATCCCATCCATATGGCTAGAAGGGCCTCTGTTCAATCGGACCGGACAAAGGAGAATAGAGAGGGTGGCCGTACCGCCAGTACTGAGCTAGTTCCATCACATTTAGCCCCTTCAACACCCTCAGCTGCTTCTCTTACATCCATCTGCTCTGTCTCCACTACGCTATCCTCTCTTGGCAACTCTCTTCATCATCGGCACTGCAGTCCGAAGACTTCGACTTCTAAAATCACAGAAGGTCACTCTTCAGAGACTAATGGAGAAGGCTATGGAGGTGGACAATGGTCGAGTCAACCTGGAGGCCTCTGTGCTCTTGCTCCGCTAGGCCCAGGAAATCCATACTTTAACTCAGACCTGCCATCTCCAGGATGTCCGATGACTTCCAGCTGGCGTGTTTCTACCTGCCCAGCGTCCCTGTGTCCTCTGCCCTTGCCTCCGCCTCTCCCTTCTCGGCAGATTATCTTTCCACCCATTTTTTGTCCTCCTTTTTCTTCCTCACAACTCTCACCACTTGCTTCCATTCAGTCTAATCAGACGCAACGCACACGGCAAATATCATCTAAACGTCGCACTGGCCACTCAATCCAGTCTGTTGGAGGTGATAATGAAGGTAGTTTCGGGGATGGGTGTCGTGGTTCGACCACTGTCACTCATTTCGCATGTGGTCCAGAGGAACTCGCTTCGGAAGGTCTTTCGGGCGACTGCTATCTTGATAGCCTGGCTTTGACTATCTGGCAGTTTTTTCTCGAAACAAGGCAGACTCCGATCACTCTCTTCCGAAAGCTGCAGCTACGGAACGCACTGCATATGGTCGTCTCCGGTGCTTTTCATTGTTAGTAATTCTTCATTATAGAAAGTGTGGTTAAGCGCACTATTTTTTCTTTGAGGTCCACAGGTTATCTGCATAAAATATTCTCTGACTTCTTTTAATTATTGGTTTTCTCAAACGGTCTTCTTATTTTTTAATTGAGGAATTAATAATTAATTAATTGCAGTTTGTAGCGT